AATATTTAAAGGATATTCAATGAGAGGCAATATAACTCAAGAAACTCAGAAAACACACAAGTTCAATAAGGAGATAGACATTATAACAGAACTATATAGGACTTCTGGAACAAGCAGATTTGATTAAACAGAAAACAGAATTCTGTGCTACTGAAGGTGGCAAATATGACAACTCTCCCGATCTAGTTTTATAACCTGTATAAATATATTGAAATATCAAATATATCCCATAAATATACATAATTACATGTCAAATAAAAATTTAAAAAAATCTATCTATTTTTGTGGTTCTGTGGTCAATGTCATGGCCTTATGCATGCAAATCATGCATTATACCACTGATCTCTATCTCCAACCTTCACAAATAATCTTTGTTTTTGTTTTTGTCAGTCGTGGGGCTTGAACTCTGGGTTTGGGCACTATCTGTGCGCTCTTCAGCTCAAGGCACAGCTCTTGGGCTCTTGAGCCACAGCACCACTTCTGGCTTTCTAGTGGTTTATTGGAGATAAGAGTCTCACAGTTTCCTGCCCGGGCTGGCTTTGAACCATGATCCTCAGATCTCAGCCTCCTGAGTAGCTAAAGATTACAGGCATGAGCCACCGGCACCCGGCTCACAATTATCTTTGAACTTGAAGATAGGTCATTTGATAGCATCAAAGATAGTTTATACCCAACATGCTTTAAACCACCACTCTCACATCTTTGTTTAAGGATTAGAATGGGTAGAGGTCTGGCATGGAGCCTTTTCTGAGGTAGAGGGCTTATGATAAGAATACACATGTGAGCTCTCTGTTGGTCAGGAAGTGGGGCTGGTGCTTGGTCTGGCCTGCAAGACATGGACTCAACTAAAGGAATAAATGGAAGGACAGCCTGAGGGATTAGTCAAAATTTGGCATTGCAGATCATACTAGTTCCAGGTTGGACATTGGTATGCCATTTTTGCTTCTAAGGTAAGAAAATGCAGGAGACACTGGTGTGATAAAAGTTTCTTTAGTCAAGACAGGTGCCAGTGGCTCACACCTGTAATCTTAACTACTCAGGAGACTGAGATCTGAGGATCACAGTTCTAAGCCAACCAGGGTAGGAAAGTCCATGAAACTTTGACCCCTAATTAACCACCAGAAAACTGGAAGTAGTGCTGTGGCTCAAGTGGTAGAGCACTAGCCTTGAGCAAAAGAGTTCAGATACAGTGCCCATACCCTGAGTTCAAGCCCGACAACCATCACTACCAACAACAAAAGTTGCTTTAGAAATAAAATCTACAGATTACTTAGTGATAATGAAAAGAATCTCTTCCAAATACATACTTCAAAATACATACTGCATTGTGGAACTGGAGAAATACCTGAGATATGAAAGACCAATGGAAGACAGATTGGATGATTGTTTTAATTCATGGAAATACTACCCACAGCAATGAATTCATTTATCCCCTCAACCTCCAGTAATAGAAAAACCAGTACTCAAATTTAATAGAATGGCAAGGGCTCTAAATCACAAAAAAAAAGATACTAAAAAAGAAAAGAAAATTGGAATTCTCTTACCTCCCAAGTTTGAAGCTTACTAGAAGGCTATAGTAACCTAAACTTGCATCAGGATAGATATACCACAACAGTAGGTATATGCTAAAAATAATTGAAAACAAGTACTCAAAACAAACATTCATGCCAGCATTACTGAAACAGCCAAGAACTGGAAACAGTTCAAACATCTGAATAATGGCTAAACAAAATGTGGCGTAAAGATAAAAGAGTTTTATACAGCCACAGAAGGAATGAACATGTATATATGCTACAGTGTTGGTAAAGCCTGAAAAAATTAAGCAACATAAAAGAATCCAGACTGAAAACATCTTATGTTGTATGAACCCATTTATGTGACATAGAGAGATTAGAGGTAGAAATTCCTAGAGAATCCCTACCGGTATTTTCCAGGTGAAAGTGAAGAGGAAATGCTTAATGGGTGTGAAGTTTCCTTTTGGGATGTGAAATTATTTTGGAACAAGATAGCAATAGATATGCCACACTAGAATTTATTAACAATTGATGTTCACTTTAATTTTCATTATGCAGATTTCACATGTACACACATACACAAGCCTGTGCATACACAAAAACAGACTGGATCTCTGTGAACCAGCAGGGAATGCTAAGATTCAGACAAGGAAGTGCTCTTCCTTAGTGTGGTAACTAACATCTGATTGTGAGATGCTAGCATTTGATAGGTCCTTGGGAAACATAGTTAAGATTAAGACTTCTCACTCTCCATAGGTTAAGGATTTTGCTTTGAAAAATCCCTGGAGACTCAGAGCCTCCTAACTGGGGAAAGGGAAGTATCTTTAAAGTTCCAATGAGGTATCACAATAGATCAAAGTCTGATTTCTTTGAGCTCCCAAATTAATAGGTTTATTTTGTTTCATAAGTGTAGGGAATCCTTTTAAGGCCTACTTAGTATGATTAAATTCGAAAAGCCTTTATTCTTAGTAGATATCTGTCTTATTACTTTTTTCACTTTTTTTTGGGGGGGGGGGGTGGGTCGTGGAGCTTGAACTCTGGGCCTGAGTGCTGTCCCTCAGCCCTTCAGTTCAAGGCTAACATTCTACCACTTGAACCATGGCACCACTTCCATCTGTCTAATTATTAACAACACATTATCCTTGTCATTTTTGGTTATATTTCTACAAGGAGAAATTTCATAAGGGGGGAAAAAAGGGTAGAGGTCCATTGAGAAGCTTGAGAAACAATCTTTTGTGCAAACTCAAGAGCATCAGGCTTCTCAGACTGCTGTTATTTGGATAACTTTTCCTATCATCATCAACCTTTCTCCCTTCTACCCTCCCTCCCTCTAGCCTATCCTCCTTTCCTTGAATGAAATCCTCCTGCTTCAATCACCTACGTAACTAGATAACAGGCATGTACTATCACATCTGGCTTATTCTTTATTCTTAATTTGTTAGGTTAATGAAAGCATTAATAGGATGCTAGGAATTGAGACTTGCTAGGCATAAATGTGAGATCTTCTATGAAGAGTAAAGAAAGCAAAAAAGGGTCTAGGTCATGGTTCAAGTGGTAGAGCACCCACCTAAATATAAGGCCCTAAATTCAAACCCTAGTACTGCCTCCCCGTCCCCAAGGAAAGGCAGAATGGGAATAATCTAAAGATGAAGACTGAATTGTATAGGAAAATATAGAGATTTAGAAAAGCTATAGTTGTTGTATAGGATTTTTTTTATTTGTTTATTTCTATTACGAAACACTTCACACTCATTTTTCAAAGTGACTGCATGATTATGATCCTCTTCAAGAGGATGTGTGTGTGTGTGTGTGTGTTGCTGAGGATTAAATTCAAGATGTAGAACATGGGGCTGGGAAGGTGGCTCAGTGGTAGAGCGCTTGCCTTGCATACATGAGGTCCTGGGTTTGATTCCTCAGCACCACATAAGCAAAAAGAAAAAAGCCAGAAGTGGCGCTATGGCTCAAGTGGTAGAGTGCTAGCCTTGAGCTGAAGAGCTGAGGGACAGCGCCCAGGTCCAGAGTTCAGGCCCCACGACCGTACCCAAAAAAAAAAAAAAGATGTAGAACATGCTATACAGAGTGCTCTACTACTGAACTACATCTCAGTTCTCATCTTTGGTTCTAAATTTTACATTATTATAAGCAGAAATGGCCTATTATTATAAGAGACTCTTCCAGTAACTCCAAATTTATCATCAACAGGTATGAGAAACCTTTACTCAACAATTCCTAAATAACCCTTTTGTAACCTGAAACCCAGTCCTGAAAAATGTACCAGAGAAAGCTCTGGAATTCCACTGAAAAGAGTCTTAACAGGTATTGTTAACCAGTATGACAGCAGTTTAGTTCTCATGGTCTGATCTCTGAGTTTATTTTCTCAATTACAGGGTATACATCTTTCATGGATTATACACCCATTTTAAAATTTATACAAGATGTCAACTTTAGAAACACAAAGACCTCTGAAAGAGGCAATTCTCACTCATAAGATATAAAGAGCTTTTTATCTAAGATCAATAGAATAAAAACTATACATTAATCTGCATCTTTACTAATAATCTTTATTGCTGTTTTCTGTTTTTTTGTATCCCAGCTAAGGTTTCCTTTAATTATGCTTCCTATATTTCCCTTTGTATCATTTATTTTAGTTATTTTTCAGTTAAGGGGTCAGCATTGGCCTTAGATACTCTTGCTATTGCCTCCCTAACAGTTTGGGATTATAGGTAGTCATATTATGCCTAGCTTATTTACTGAGATAGAATCTTACTTACTTTTTTCCCAGGCTAGCCTTGAACCACAATCCTCCTAATCTCCATGTACAGAGTAGCTGGGGTTATAGGTGTAAACTACTATACTTGGCAGTTTTTATGGTATTTTTAAGGAGTCAAAGTTAGTTTTTCTTTGAGAGAATAAAGTCAGCTCTTCCCTAAACAATTTAGATAAAACTCTGTTAAATTCTAACTGTTCCCTAGTATCTATTGATATATTAACACATTTTTATGTATGTTTTAAAAAAGTTTATTATACTTATCTTTATGTTGGCTTCATTTTGGAAATATTTCCTTGAAGACAGTTAATTTAGTAACTAAGTAAAACATGATTATAAGTAGAAAGAATAGGATATAGAAGAAGGTTTAATCATCTGACTGGGGGAAATTCAGAGGAGTCACAGGAAACATACCTGAACTGACTCTTTATGGATAAGGAAGAATTATACAGAAAAATAAGGGAGTAGATAGTTTATGCAGTGGTGAAAAGGGTCTAAAGGGATACAGGCACCATTTAGCATTGAGAATGGGAAACTGTAAGTAGGTTCTATATGACTACAGTATTAGAGTACAGGGTAAAGAAAAAACAGAAAGATAAAAAACAAGTCTAAATAGGCAATCAAGAAGTTTGGAGGAAGAACAACTCATTGTGCTAAATTCAGGCTATTGAACCACAGTTTCTATGTTAGTAGCCTACTTGTAATGATGAAATACTTACTGGCTCTGAGGATATTCTCCTTGCTGCTGCACCTGGACTGGACCTGTAGAAAGAGCATAGATTCAGTAATAGGATTCATAACACAGATAGCCAGATATGTGTATTTAGTGGGCAAACTCCTGAGGTCTAGGAGCAAAGGGTTTTATATGTCTCAGATGTCATAACATGTTAGTAAAAATATGTACTTTGGTTAATATATATTTTAATTCATCCTTTTCATATTTTAAAGAAGACTGACTTCCAGAAAAATTACAGGTATACTATTATAAATTGGACAGAGATAAAACCAAAAGCATTACTGAATTCATGTATATTAAATCAGTACAGTGGCCCTGTGAGTTCCATATCTGTAGATTAGAAATATTAAGAAACATCCTGCATCTGGACATTTTCTTATTATTATTTCTTAAAGAACACAGATAGAAATTACTTACATAGCATTTATATTGTATTCCGTTTCATAAGTATACAGTATTTCTAAAATATGTATAGCTTATATGCCTATTACTGCACCATTTTATATATATATTTTGCTATCAATGGGGATCCAATTCTCCATGGATACCAAGGAATGACTGTGTATAGAAAAAGTTTCAGGTTATCACATATTAAAGCATGAATACAGATTCTTAATCTGAAGGCATTTAGTTTAGCTCTTGAGTAGAATAATGAAATTCAAGTAAGAAGATGTAATATTCCATTGTAATTTACACATAGAGATATAAAATGTAGTGACAGGGAATAGAGAAGTCTGATATACATTTATCTTTGATCCTAATAATCTTTGTGATTTACTGATTAATTATTATAATATTGATTATGAAAGATGCTTCTGTAGACATCAATTAAACTAAATCCATTTGTTTATACAATTTTGAGGTTATAAATATAATTTATCAATCAGAAGCCTTTATGTTTTTATTCATAAATTCAGGTCAAAGTGACACATTCTTTTAAAGGATATCAAACTGTTGTATTCAAGGCCATGTAAGATGGCATTAACATGAATTTTTTAATTTCAGACATAACTGTATTTAAGCTCTACACCTTTTCTTCCCACTCCACAGCAGCTTGCCCCAAATGGATATATACACAACAAATTATTTTCTACATCTTAACACATTCTAATATTGCATGAAACAGCTTATGAAAGGAATGTTGTAACTTAGGGTGGATTATGGTTGTCCTTTCCTAAAAAATTGTTAATGTTTAAATAAACAATTAAAATGTCACAAACATACAGACAAGGGTAAACAAAGCAAAAAACCATCACACACACACACACACACACACACACACACACACACACACACACAGAAAAGAAAAAAATCCAAATGTTAGTTATTCTCTTTTGGCCCAGATTGTTTAAGTGCCTTTAAGTATATTTAATAAAGATTCTAATCTGGAATATAAAATTATTTATTGACTTAGAAATCTCATTGAAGAACAACCTGGACCAAATGGGAAAGAAACTAGTGACTGTTTTAAGAAAAAAAAGTATGAGAACAAGGAAAAGGAAGAGAGAGAGGTTAGAGGGAATAAATCTAGATGACAGAAAAGAAAGCACAGGCTGACAGAAGGGGACATATAAATGGAGAAGGTTCTGCTATTTCTTATTGATAATTCATAAGAAGAAGATAAGAATGACTAATGAACTTGCTGCAAAATAAATAAGCAAGTTGGCACACTACAGAATGAAAATAAGTGTAACTATACCACTACAGCCTTAAAGAGGAAAAGAAACACACACTAACATAAATTAATAGACAAGCTTTAACAAAGAGAGAAACTACATTTTAAAAAGTGATTCAAAGAACACAAGAGAAAGCTAAAAGTGTGAGAGAAAATCTGGGAGGAAGTAGGAAAAGAAAGGGAAATGTTGAAAGACAAAAACAGAGTTCAAAGAAGTCAAATGGAAGTCAAGAAAGTCTTCAACAAGGTGTGAAACAAGATGTGAAGGAGCCCAAACCCATAGCGCAAAGCAGTGTTTGCGAATGGCAAGTAGCTCCTTTGATCAGTAATAGTTACTCTTAAGTCGTAGCCTCTATTCCTCCAGAGTTCATCTTTAAGCCCTTCCAATCTAGAGTGGAGCTAGTGTGTGGATAGAAACAAGAGATTTACAATGAACACAGCAGTTCAGATGAGTAGTTCAAATTGTCTCATAAAATGTTCCAACAGACATATATTATTATATACATTAAATAATGTATATAATGAAATAGTGAAGAACTAGCTAGATTTTATATTTATATAATAAAAATAAGAAAAACAACAACAAAATCTTTCTCCTTGCCTAAGTAGCTTAAAATTAGCAAAAATAATTCATAACATTTTAATAAAGAAACCCAGATTGCATTATAGTTTGGAACTGTATATTTCAAACAGACTTAGAGGAAACATTTGGATGATGAAAACAATTCAATTCTCTGAATTAGGAGATCTATCAAGAAGTAGAAACTGCTAACAGAAGTATAGCCAATGTTTTCTCATTTAGGTTGGCTGCTTGAACCAGATTCGAAGGAAATGCCTTTTAAAAATCAATGATTATGAAACTTTCTTTACTTTAGTGATATTGAATATGCATAACAAAAACTGAGGAAATTTAAAACTTTACTATTTATGCATGGACTGAATGGCCTAACCCTCTACTGCACTATGAAAATGGTTACTTTATATTTACTTAATTTTATAAAATATCAATATAATGACTTAAATAACTCACAATGTAAAAGGATGTACTTAAAAAAATAAAGCTGAGAAACAAGCATTACTTTTTCTTACATATATGGGCTATAAAAAAGGTCAATAGGTCTATCTCAAGTTTTAAGGTTTAATGTTAATACTATTTTTATTGTTTTAAAATTTCACTGCATCTTTTCTTTTTGGGAAAAGGAGAAAGACTGAGAGACAAAATAAACTGAGATTCTGGCCTAAGTCTCAGGGATTAAAATGAAGGGCTGAATGAAGGGTATGGTACAGATTACCTATTACTTTATTCTACTGTGTTACATTAGTTTACTACTCTTAATATCTGACTGGATTTATAGTGTTGGCAAATAATTCCCCTTTCTACTGGAATCAAAACTAAAGAGCTATTTAAAAACACTACTTTTATTAAAGTCAATGGAGGAAATGAAAAATACAAGAGACATACTGACAACATATTCACTTACTAATCAAGATTGCTTTTAGACATAAAATAATTCAATTGAATGTGTTTACATATGCAACACAATTTTTGCTGACGATCATATTGCTGTATTAAAGAAGCTTAAGGTATGAAACAGAAAACAAAAGGAGGGCGAGCACATAATCAATGTTAAGAAACAAAAGCAAAAATGTCTTAAAAAATCTGAGCAACTTTTAACAAACAACCACAATCTTTAGTACAGTTAGAGAAATCACTTACCTTATACTTAGGTCATAACAAGAATAGCACAGTGTTTAAAGTCAGCTCTTCATTATGGGAGGTACAATCGAAAGCCATAGGTTATAATAGCATGAATTGCTACACAAAAATGAAGACTTTTTCAGCCCAACATGAAAAGCTAACTCTTAAGGGAGAACATTTCAACTTATGTTTAATGCAACATGAAGAACAATTGGGAGTATAAACATCAAAACATACCACAACATATAAAGTTTCACACTGAGAAGGGAGAATCAATCTCTTGGAACACAGAGATTTCATATGATAATAATTTGAGACATATAAGGGAAGGCACATCATTCTAATGGTAAAAGATGCATGCATAATGTATAACCATCCATTTATCTCCCCAACCCACATCCCATTCAAACACATAAAAGCCCACTAAGATTCAGGGAAAGAATGTAGTGCCAAGCTGTTATGAAGAAAGCAGGACACACGTAAGCGCAGCAGTGGTCATGTAATTTGAGGTGTTCTTCCCTTAAACCATCCCATCACCATGCTTATTTTAAAGATGCCAGGAAAAGATCCCTTTTCAATGCTGCAATAGCTACGAGCCCCCAGCTTGAAGCTAGTGTGTGGAATTTTGATCACCGTTCCCTGCGATGTCAGGGGCTCTCCAGTGGAAGCCAGATGGGTAACACCAGTTGGTGGGGTAAAATGTGTGAATAATAAACATCCTTTTCCTTCTGCATTTCACAGAAGAAAGGAGAGAAATAAATAAAATCAAACCCATGTTAAGGACAGGTTCATAACAATAAAGATGTATAAATATTAAAATGAAGGTTATAATTGACTACAAGTTAACAACAAGTCAGATTTCACAAAAATTGCCTCTATTTTGCTGCTCACCAGGTTAATTCATATTTTCTTTGCAAATGCTACATAGTGTGGCTTACATAGAAAAATTCTGAACAGTTGGTCAGATGGGGTCAAAGTCAAGAGCAAAAGAAATCATCTTTGATGGACATTAAGAAAAACCTTTAAATTTTTAGCATGACTTTAATAGTCAATAACTATCATTTTAAATTAGAAATTAAAATTCTGTACATATGTTTATTTTGTAATCTGAGAAGTCCTTGGAAAGACACAATTAAGGTTTTTTTATATAGTTAAAAGTAAAAAAAATAAGGGCTACCTATTTAGAAAATAAATTTCCTATGTACTTTATTTGCAATAAAATTTAATATGGACTGTTCTTATCAACTAATAGGGTAATATTAATTCATCAGAAAAAAACAAGTGTGTTTTCCTATTACTGGATGAAGCACTTAACATCTAGTTTAATTTTTTTTTGTATAAGATAAATTTTGATTCATGTGTGGCATCTAAATTTAGTTAACAGATCTGTGACTATTCAAAAGGCCATGCACTTGTATCACAATTTTTCCTCTTTCACTGTATTCTTTATATGCCAAAACACCTTGACTTTTTTCGTTTCTTCTTTAGCATTTTAGGCTATGTGTCATCTCATAATCTTACCTTCTAATGGAGAGCTAATAGATTGTTGTGGGGTTCAAAGAAATGACATATGTACCACTGATTTTAAGATGTAAAGAGAGAAACATACAGTAGTTGTTTTAAGTGAAGTCAGAGCTGTGGGATGACACTAT